CGGACAAAAGCATTTATTAAAAAAAATAAACTCAAAAATTAAGACAAGAACATTATTAAGGTGTCTGTGAATACATTTTATCCATATAGAACACAAACACTGCAACAAAAAGTTATCTGCAGTTTATCAAGATTATGACTTCAAACCATCTGAGGAAAACAGAAGTAAATAACAGTAAACATAGGTAAACAACCATAAATTATAAGTACACTTAAAACACAAAGAATGACTTACAGCATGTTGCTTATTAGGAAACACCTCCTGCACACTCACAGCAGTTTCTACATGACACTAAATCTACACTGAAATAACCCTGCTTCAATTTACACTTTATGTTTTATACTTCTTCTCCTGCACACATCCACTAAAGCAAGATGCTCATTTCAACAAGACGAACAATACTTTCATTCATGCTGTCCTTAATAGGTAGGAAGANGGGTGAGAGGCTCAGCAAACAGGAAATTTCACACACAGTTACAAGAAATGTAAGTTGATTTATAAAGCCACTGTGCACTTCCTGTTTAAGAGAAGCACGTACAATCAGTCAGGTGATCATTCAGTCGTCACATTAAAAACACACAAACAGTGCTTGTATAGTTTTGACGTTGGAGAATACCGTCCTTCCGTAGCTTGTTTTCTTTAACTAAAACTGAAAACTTGAGTTATATTTAGATTTTAATCTGACACACTGTGACCTAGAAGAGACTAATAATGAAAACGATAGATAATTTAACACAATGAACATTTAAAACCATAACTTTTTTTTGTTATAGTATTAGAAAGTGTATCTGAGGCTAAACCACTTCAGCTAAATTAAAGCTTTATGAAGTTTTATTTGAGAGAGAAAAAGTAGACCTGTCGTCCCGCCTGGTGAGTTAACTTTCCGTGTAACGTTCAAGTCCTGTCGGAAACAGGAGTACTCRCCTGGGCCTCCGGGGTACGGGTAGGGCGGCGGGGCCGAAGGGGGGATGGCCCCGTAGCCGTGCTGCTGCGGGCCGTACTCCTGCGCCCCTGGGACAGCGTTGTAGGCGGGGGGTCCGTCGTGAAGAAGAGGTTTGTTGTCCATCGCGCTCGGAAGGAGCAGCGTGTCCTCAACTCGTCTTTGCTGTCGCTCTAAAGTCTCCTGAAGCCGAATTAAACGGTGGTATCAAAGCGCTCCACCTAACTTATGTTGCCTGGAAAGCCGCACGGCGCTGACTCGGACGCGAATAAAACAACCAAAAACACGCTGCGCAAAAAAATAAATAAATAAAAAGAAAAAGAAACTTCGTCCCTCTCCATGCGCCAACTTTGCCCCCCAGGCCACGCAAAAGGCTCACCAAATATCCACCTTCACCGCGGGAATGATTAAAGTTGGTCAGCTAAAGGCTAACTTAGCCCCATTTCCCTCATTAAAGTTGGTCCTTCCGTGTGAAAACAACACACCACCGCTGCACCTTAAAAGTCATCTGGAAGTCAGGGACGCTTTTCCTTTCTGTCTCTGGGATTGTCACAAGAGAGGCATCATGTGACGAGCTGCTGCTGTGGCGCCTCTGCGCAGAGAAAAGGCTTCTTAAAGGGACAGTACATCAAAACAAGACCGCTCCGGGTTGCCAGATAGAAAATGACGAACTGTCATATTTTTGACCAAATCTATCGTGTTTCGAGAAAAAACTGCGGATTGAGAGTGCACCTATTTCTTGCGCACGCATTTTCTCAGTCAACCAGAAGGTGTGTGTAGTTTTCTTGACAGTTTGTTCAAAATGTATCGCTAATGACTGACTTTTACAGCTTCTAGAAGACAGCGCTAAACAATAACTTTAAAACCTTTCAAATACTTTAAAACACCCATATTAAATAGTTTATTTTATTTTAATTTAAAAAAAACATCAGGTGTTTTGTGTGTAAGCAGCATAAAAGCGTGTATAACAGCCTACATCAGTAGGGGTGTAAGAAAATATCGATACACTGAAATATCGCGATATTTCATTT